AAAGATTGATAGGAATCTTCATAAACTGCAAAATTAAAATTAAAATTTACATTTTTTTAGATCCATCAATTGATTATATAAAAGTTAAATGCACTTGATTTTTTCTACCATAATTTGTGTATCAAATATCGTGTACCTTTTGTTTTCAAAACTAATTAATTTAGTATATTTTGTTTCGTAGATTTTGAGGTTTCGTAGGTGAAGATCCTCGTAAACATTTTATGGAATTTCAAATATTGTGTTCTTCCATGAGACCTCAGGATGAAGATCATATAAACCTTAAAACCTTTCCATTTTCCTTAAAAAGGTGTAAAAGATTAGTTTTACTATTTTCCACTAGGCTTCGTTACAAATTGGGATAATTTGAGAGTTGTTCTTAGGAAAATACTATTCTATTTCTAAAATTATCTACATTTGAGGCAAGAGATTTTAGACCAGTTCTCTTCACTAAAAAATGGACAAGAAAAATTGAATTTTGTGTCCATACAAAAGATGTACAGAGCTGAATAATCAAGACATGGTTTATGATATGAATGACTTTTGTTTTCTATGACATAAAAGAAATAGATTATTTTCTCAAAATTAACTGATTAATTGCTTTATTTTTCTAGTATTACCTTTTTTTTATGTCATTATCTATTGTTTTCATTTTTCATTTTTCTTATATTTTTAATTATTTTTTCTAGTTGCTTTTCATGTTCTCAAATTATTTTTAAATGTATATACTTAAAACCAACATTTTATGAATTAATTTCTATTTTTATATAAATTATTTTAAATTTTTTATTTAGTAATATCGTTTTTAATATATTAATTTAAAAAGGTTGTATTTACTATCTAATTAAAAATTTATTTAAATTAATTTATTAAATTTTGAACTAATATTCTACATATTTTAAGGTTATTAATTTTTCAAATTTTTGTTTAATTAACTTAATAAATTAATTAATCTTAACAAATTATTTAAGTAAATATTTTAAATTTTAATTAGTTATTAATAATATGAGAAATAAAAAGTTGTCTTTGACATTTATAATCTATATTACAAATGACAGGTCAAGAAATTAAAAAAAAATTGTAAAAGAAAATGTTATCAAAATTTTACTATTTTATGTAAAAGAAAAAAATTAATATTTGGACCGACAAGCAAATATAACACTAATTACATTACCCCTACGTACAAAAGTTAAAATGGGGCCATACGGGTGAAGGTTACATAAATACATTATGTAATTTGCGAGGTTGGATTGCAACATATTCCACCGGGTAGAAAATTCTGCCTTTTGCCTCTCAACATTTCATGTTGTATTTTTGTCTCACAAATTCACATCTTTCCCAAATTGAGCTTTTGTCTAATATGCAAATCTCAATCTATATCAAAATTGTTGTTCAAAATAACTTTTAAGCATTTCATCCGTTTAATGGAATTAATAACCTTTAATTTATTTGTTATTTATGATTTGCATTTTCATTTTCCCTAATTTATTTGCTTTTCTTTGTTATTTAGGGTTTAATAGTTGATATAATGTGTTTTATGGTTCGTTGATTTTATTGTCCGTGTTTTTAACGACAAAAATAATGTAGTTCATATTTTTGGCATTAGACATGTGATATTTTTTTTATCACGTTATTAATTTAAAATGATATATTTTTTTATCATGTTATTAATTTTAAGATATAATTATTTTCTATTAATTTTTGATAAAAATAAGATATGTTATCAAAATTTATCCATTTATATGTAAAAAATGTGAGTTTTATAAGTTTATATTATTTTTATATTAGAAATAATTATTAAAATTGATAAACAAATTTCTTCTAATATTGGTTTATTTATTAATGATACATGTCTTCCATATTGATGTCTTCATGTATTTATGTTGATATTTTAGTTATAATATGCACAATAAATAACAATAAGGAAGTGAAAATAATTATTATTTAAAATAATATAATCTTATAATAATATATAAAATATAATTTTCAACATCTCAACATATTTTATATTACGAAAATTTGAATTAAATTTGTAATGATTAGTTAAAATAAATGAACCCAATTTTAATAAATCTCTTTGTCATATCTACTCATTTCAACCCTTAAGGTTCAAACTTCATCTACAATATCATCAAATATTCATAAATAGATATTATTATTTAAAAATAATTAAATAATATAAATATAAATTAATAACATGGACAAGTGCATAACTGAAGATAAATAAATAAGACCAGATGCATAACTGGAGATAAAATATAACTAGTACGTAACTCGAGACAAATAAATAAATAAATATAAAATAGGACCAATGTATAACTGGAGATAAGTAAAATAAACAAATAAGACAAGTACGATAAATAAATAAGAACCGAGTGCAGAAATGGAGATAAATAAATAAACATAAAGCGGAACTAATACTTAATTGGAGATAATTAAAATAGGACCGAGTACAGGATCGAAGATAAATAAATAAATAAAAGGCGAGAACCAACACGTAACGGGAGATAATTAAAATAGGATTAGTGCAAGACTGAAGATAAATAAATAAACATAAAACAGATCAATAAGTAGTTGAAGATAAATAAATAAGTAACAAAATAAATAGAATGAGGTTTGAGATATCTAACTCCACAACTATAGTTAAAATAAAATAGATAAAATGATAACAATGATAACAACATTTTGGTTGCACAAAATACTGATAAAAAATAATAAACAAGTTGTTAAACTAATGCAATATAGTTAACCCGTGTCGAATCTCACAAGGACACAATTATAAGAACATATTCATTATCACATATCATTCTCTCTAAAACGAGTAAATAACATTCAATATGGGATGAATGAAAGAGTGAAAAAGAAATAAATTAATACAAAATAATAAAAATTAAAATCAAATTGCTATATAATATTAACGAAAATTAAAATTAAATGGAAACATAATTTAAATAACTGAAATTTATAAAATTAATATAAAGTGTTTTTAATTAAAAGTGTAAGAATAAAAAATTGTTTTAAAACAAAATAGTGCAGTAATTAAAATTAAATTGATGCAAAATTTAAATAACTGAAATTTATAAAATTAATAAAGTATTTTAATTAAAAGTGCAATAATTAAGAATTGTTTTGAAATAAAATAGTACAGTAATTAAATTTGAAATTTTTGAAAGCAATAACTCTAAATCTAAATTGCGAATTGGAATTGGAAACGAGACGAATTGAAAATGAAATTTATGCAATACTAAAATAAAAATTCTAAACAATTAAATAACAGAAATTAAAATGAGCACTGAATAATAAAATAGCTAGAACAATGTAATATGAAAAATTCAATAGAAATTGCAAATTAAATAAAAGAGAACAAACAAGAAGTGTAGTAACATAGATGAACTCGTCTAACTAAAAAGTAAATTACAAGCTGAGAGTAGGAAGAAAAAATGGGAACGAGACAAAACAACAGTTCTTATCCTAGACTAGGAGATTATGGTTGTGTGTTATCGTAAGACCTCTATTTATAGGAGTTTGAACAAGAGAAATTAAGTCTAAAATTAATTAAAATCAAATCAAATATTTCTCAAATAAATAATTACAAAATCTTATTGTTGTGAAAAGAAATTTCTGGGATTGATTTGGAGAAAATAGTATACTTCTTTCTTATTTTGAGTGATCAACACTGATTTGCATTGATTATTGCTTGGCTTTTAATTCACCTAATTTGGATTTTCGTAATAGTTAATTTGTTTAATTCAAAATTTTCATTTATAATATTCTGTAAGTGGACTGCACAAACAAACTTGGCTTTCCAAGAAGACGACATTAATTTGGACATTTCTATATATCAATTTGGCACATCCCAAATTACCTCTCCTACAAAAGAAGAAAAAGAAAAATGCAATGTGGATATATGCATGTATATTATTTATTATACTAAAACTATGTAAAATACAACAGATTAAGAAAAATTGAATTATGCTATACTTTTAATGAAAACATGTTAAATGCATGATTTATGAATAAAATAATTAATTTAAAAAAATACTTTTAGATCAAGAAATAAAGAGTAAAATGACATACATCAAATAATCTCCTCTCCTACCTTAAGAATTGTATATGATTTATTAAAATTTCATATGTGACTTCTCTTTCTCTTTCCTTTCTTTCTCTACTTTTTCTCTCTTTTATCTTTTTTTTCTCCTAAGCTTCATCTCCCTCCTTGAACCTTATTTTATAGTCAATTTTTTTTCTTCATTTTTATTTATTTAATTAGTCTATTAATAACTAATGATCACTCTGTTGGCAAATATTGGGACATATATATATATATATATATATATATATATATATATATATATATATATATATATATGATACATAATTTAAATGTGTTAGGGCCATTATTTATTAAGCCAAATAATAAAGTGATTGGACTAAATTAAAGTTTTGGCTAAAAGCATATGTCATGAAAATAAAATTGTGTAGAAATCATAGAGCAATTTCTAATTTGATGAGGGGTCAAATTGGAAATACTACTTAAGTAATTAACCTAATTCTGGTTATTTAAAGGGTCATGGTCCCCTTCTGGTAACACACACAGAATGTAAGTCTCAGTCCCGTTCTTTTTTTTCTACCCCATCAAGAGAGAAAATCCAGAGGGAAATACATGTGTTCTTAAGGTGGAAGACCATAAGATTAATCGTGCTTTACAAGGATATTATCATTATGGTTAATTCAGGTACGCTTTCGCATTCAGTTTACAACATGTTTGTAAGTATGAGATTATGTTTACGTTTCATCGTTAGAATGAAAATTTGGATCATAATTAATTACAGTTTACCTAATAGTTGGTATCAGAGCCACCTATACTTGATTCATGTCTGTTTTAGGAAATATTTAAGAATTCAGATTCTAATTAATTTACAAAACCCTTAATCCCTAATTAAAAAAAAAAAAAGTAGTCACGAGAGATTGAGTCCTTTCGAAGGCTTATCGGGTTTCTGGTGATGGATTCCGGCACGTGCCTGTTGTCCCTACTGGTGGTGCTCCCAACGGTTAGCCACATTCGTTCGGAGCCGATCCTGAGGCTGTCGTCGGAGAAGGTGATCTTGAGTGATTATTGCGACAACTGGAGGCTGGCCGTGGAGACAAACAACGCGAGGGTGTGGGCAGTGACAGATCTTCTTGGGAGCTGAGGGGGGCCGTGACCCCCCCCCAAAGTTTTGTAACTCCCATGTAATTTATGATTTTGGCCCCCCCAAACATAATGAACATTTAATATATTTACTTGTATATTTACAATTTTATCCTCCCAGCTCCTCCTCAATTTTGTAACTCTCATATAATTTATGATTTTATTTCTCTCAAACTTAATGATCATTTAATATATTTAAGTTTATATCTACAATTTTATCTTTTCAACCTTTCATATTCTTTCTTCCTTTTATATTTATTTATTATTTATTAATAACATATTATTTAGTCCCCTAAGATCAATGGTCAAGATCCGCCACTGGGTGTAGGAGCGCGTTCCGACGAATTGTGTGAATTTCGTGGCGGAGTACATGATCGAAGGCCAGTACTGGAGGGACTGCGACGTGGTCGGGAATTTGTCGTTGGCATTCACAAGGAGCGTGAAATTGGTCGAAGATGGAAGAGACGCCTGGGTGTTCGACGAGATAAGACACTTCTCTCCAACATACCTTACTAAGAAGAAATTGGATTCAGATTTGAGATCTTCAATGAGACTTCCTTCAATAATTGGGTGAACTTGGTTGCGGCCCCAACTTTGCCAGCCAATTTGATTTTGTACAATGAACTTAAGGAATTGGGGTTAATGATATTTCTCTTAACTGGGAGGAGTGAATATCAAAGGAATGCTACAGAGGCAAACCTTCTGCTTTCAGGGTACAGAAATTGGGAGAGACTTATCTCAAGATATATATATATATATATATATATATATATATATATATATAAACACCTTAATTCTAATAATTTGAATGTGCTTCGAATCACGTGCACTATTTGGAAAATTTCCAGTTTTTATGTTTTGTCACATGAGTTGAAGTGCTAAGGTTTTCAAACATTGAAATTAAGGGATTAATACTTCTAATGGAAAATACTTGTTTTACGAATGGCGGTGGTGGTCCGCGCCATTATAATTTTTTTAATAAACAAATAATCAAATTCTGGTTTTGTTATATAATATTTAAATTTTTGGTAGTTTAATATTTTTTGTGAGCAAATTGAGTCAAGAAGTCACCAAAGTAACCTCTCTTGAATTGGGTAGTTCGTGAAAAATATTGAATATTAGTGTTTATGTATATTCATGCGAGTATTAGTCGACCCAAAGGAAGATTAATATTTGGCCGAATTGCATACACACTTGTCATAATAAACATGTGATAATTATAAGGATTTGCTTTGTTGATGATAAATTAATCCAAAGACTGGTTTGTTGTTGGATGTGCTTTATTGTCAATGTTTGATCATTACAACAAGATACCCGTAGCAGTTAATATTATTGTCCAAAGACTTGATATTGATGGTGCATTGAGTGTCTTGAGATAGGTTAAACCATTATTTGAATATATATTTATAATTATTTATTTTTATAATGTGAGCATAATTAGTTTATTTCTCTTGTTCTATATTCAGCTACAATTGTTTCTGTATCTGCCAATTTAAATTCTGTTCCAATCCTTGATGAAACAAATTTTAAGGATTGGAAAGAGAACATTGGTATTATTCTTGGCTACATGGATATTGATCTTGCGTTAAGGACTGAGCAACCCCCTACTCCTACGAATTCAAGTACCTCTGAACAAAAAAGAGATTATGAGAAGTGGGATCACTCAAATCGCATGAGTCTAATGATCATTAAACACGACATCCTAGAGGTGTTTAGAGGCACTATTTCTGAAAACATTACAAGTGCCAAAGAATTCCTAGCTGAAATTGAGCAAGCACTTTGCAAAAAGAGATAAGGCGGAGGCAATCACTCTTCTTTAGAACTTGATCTCCATGAAATATCAGGGCAAAAGAAATATCAGGGAGTACATTATGAACATGTCTAATATTATTTTTAAACTCAAGGCACTAAAGCTTGAACTCTCAGAAAACTTACTCATTCATTTGGTGTTGATCTCTCTTCCTGCAACATTTAATCAGTTTAAGGTATCTTACAACTGTCAGAAGGATAAATAGTCTCTTAATGAGCTCATTTCACACTGCGTGCAAGAAGAGGAAAGACTAAAGCAAGACAAGACAAGACAAAAAATGCTCATTTTGCAAGCACCTCCAAAGCTAAGGGAAAAAGAAAGATATTGGAGGATCCCAAGAAGAAAGTTGCTAAGGGTCTAGAACAAAAGAAACAAACTCAAGAAAACAAATGTTTCTTTTGCAATAAGACTGGACACGTAAAGAAGAAATGTGTTAAATATCATGCTTGCCGTGAAAAGAAAGGTATGTTTCTTACTTTGATCAATTTAGCGTCAGTACCTATTAACACTTGGTGGTTAGACTCAGGTGCAACTACTAACATTAGTGTTTCTATGAAGGTTGCCTAAACTACCGAAAGCCAACTGATTCTGAAAGATGGATATACGTTGGACATGGCAAATCGGTGGAGATGGAGGCTATTGGACATTTTAGATTATTATTGTGTACTAGTTTTTTATTTTAGATTTAAAAGACACTTTTGTCGTGCCATCATTTTGACGGAATTTGGTTTCAGTTTCTTATTTGGACAAATTAGGTTATTTATGTTTATTTGGAAACAATAAGTCAGTTTTTCTTTTAATTCAGATATTTTTGAAACTGGTTCACTTTTGGCTTATCATAATCTGTATTTACTTGATACTGTGGCCACCTATAATGAAACCCTTAATACAGAATCTCGTGGTACTAAACGTAAAATTGAAAATACTCACTCAGGTGTATTACGACACAAGTGCTCAAGTCACAATCGAATCGTGGTGTTTGGGCTTGTATTACACTCTTAAATATATGGTAATGAGTATGATTTGTCATTTCACCTTACCATAATCACTATAGGGAGAAACACTAAAGACGACAACTTATATTCTGAATAGAGTACCAATTAAAGCAGCTACCAAAACACCTTATGAGTTTTGGACTGGGCGACAACCTAGCCTGAAGCATTTCCATGTGTAAGGTTGTCCAGCTGAGACAAGGCCTTATAAGCCAAATGAAAAAAATTGGACTCCTGAACAGTAAGTAGTTATTTTGTTGGTTATGCTAAAAGATACAGGGGATATAATTTTTATGATCCCACGTTAAAGACAATTCTTTGAAACAGGAACTGTTATGTTCTTTGAGGATATTGAGTTTGGGGGGAAGAATAAAATCAGGAACTTTATCTTGGAGGAAGAATTGGTAACAAGTCCAGAACCAATTCAAATAGTTACTTTTGATAAAGTAAATTCGGAACCTCCACAAAACATTGATAATGAACCCCATACTCAAGATGATTTGGCTGTTTGTCAAGAACAAACTCGAGATCCTCAAGAACCTGTGCATCATGAGTCAGGGATACTCTAGTTGCTAAGGGAGACAAGTTTAGTCTCAATCAATGCTCAAAGGGGAATTTGGAAATTGAGGAAATGCAGAAGATTCCCTATGCATCATCTGTAGGGAGTTTGATGTATGCCCAAGTATGTACGCGTCTAGACATAGCATACATAGTTGAGATTCTAGGAAAATATTTAAACAATCCAGGAATGGACCATTGGAAAGCAGCAAAAAGGGTCATAAGATATTTAAAGAGAACAAAAGATTATATGCTCACATACAGGAGGTTAGACCAGTTGGAGATCGCTGGGTTTTCTAACTCAGACTTTGCAGGATGTCAAGATAGTTTGAAATCCACTTCAGGTTACATTTTCATGTTGGCAGGTGGTGCAGTTTCTTGGCGCAGTGTCAAGCAAACCCTTACAGCTTCATCCATTATGACAGCAGAATTTGTAGCATGCTATGAGACATTAAATCATGGAATATGACTGAGAAATTTTGTCACAGGGCTGCAAATTGTGAAAGGCATTAAAAGACCACTTAAGTTATATTGTGACAATAAATCAATTGTATTGTTAAGGAAAGAGTACAGAGTGGATAAATTTTCATAGAATAATTAGGGATAACCTCCATGATAGCAGATCCTCTAACTAAAGGACTTCCGCCCAAGGTCTTTCATGAACATGATGCTCACATGAGTGTTTTACAGTTTGAGGAATTTGTGGTTTAGTGGGAGTTAATCATTTTCATATATTTTATGTTCTATGTTTAATTGCATATATATATATATATATATATATATATATATATATATATATATATATACATTGATTTTTTGGACATATTTGGTTATCTATAAATATGCGGTTTTTTCGTTCATTCATTATACTTTGTACATTAAGGTTATTATATCGATCTCGATAAGTTAAAGTTTGGACCAGTTGAAAATAGACGTGTAGAGTTCACCTTCACGTAATTTTTCATGCTATACATTTCATGATGAATCCATGTCATTTGGTTATGTCAGGATTAGTAATCATTGTTGATTTTAGTTGCGATGATGTAATAAAAAACTAATTTGGTTCTATATCCTGATATGATCAATGGGCGAGACTTTTAGAGTATGCTAAAAGAATATAATGGCAATTTTGAGCTCATAAAGTCTAACACATTTGTAAGGTTATAAGGACATATATATTTGTGACCAGTGGGAGATTGTTGACAAATATTGGGTCATGTATATATATGATACATAATTTTAATGTGTTAGGGTCATTATTTATTAAGCCAAATAATAAAGTGATTTGACTAAATTAAAATTTCGGCTAAAGGTATATGTCGTGAAAATAAAATTGTGTAGATAACATAGAGCAAATTCTAATTTAATGAGGGGTCAAATTGAAAATACTAAAACTTAAATAATTAACCTAGTTCTGGTTATTTAAAGGGTCATGGTCCCCTTCTGGGAGCACATACACAAAATGTAAGTCTCAGTCTTGTTCTTTTCTTTCTATCCCCATCAAGAGAGAAAATTTAGAGGGAAATACATGTGTTTTTCAGGTGAAAGACCATAAGATCAATCATGCTCTACAAAAATATTATCATTATGGTTAATTCAAGTACGCTTTCGCATTTAGTTTACAACATGTTTATGAGTATGAGATTATGTTTACAATGTTTCATCGTTAGAATGAAAATTAGGATCATAAATAATTACAGTTTACTTAATATACTTTTAGGAAAATACTTATTTTTCATGAGATAAGTTAACCTTATCCACATATATATATATATATATATATATATATATATATATATATTATTAAAAGATGAAATTAATAGTTTTTTTCAAAAGGAGTAAATTAATATTTTCTTCTTCTTTTATCTTTATAAATTAAAAATAATAAACATCAGATTGAGAAACTCTTTTTATAAACAGAGTAATTAATATATATTTGATTTTACTTTGAATTAAATTAAACTATATCTATAACATCTAAACTAAAACTATTTTAAATATTTTAGTATCAAAATGTGGGTGGATAAGACCCTCTAACAGAGGCGAGTAGAGTATCTAATAAGTTCATTTCAAATAAATTTTTACCGATGAAACGATCTTCACATTTGGATTGGAAACCTTTTACGGAATGACGGGTCACAGTCACATCTTATGGGGTGTGTTATCACCAAAACGATTTCCGATGTTTGAGACTGCCACCACCATAACACCCCGTGAAATGTTTGACGTCTTTCGGACATTGCACGCCGTTTTTCCCGATAATACGGAGCTACTCATAAAATTCGAACCGCATAACCACGCGCTCATGTTCGTTGTTCAAATACTCTCTACATTTACGAGACACGTGTAACACAAATTCCCTAATCACTGGCGAGTACAATTCTTCAGCACTTAATCGCGAGTATGATGCAACATGAAAATTTCATGTTTGAATTTTGCTGTGGAACGGCTACTTCACACTGCATCACTTTCTATGTCACCTTTCAAACACTGCGTTTCCTTTTCACTCTTGGCACGAAATATTAAAATTAATTATTAATTTTTATTTATTGGAGTGAAAAAGAAGCATTCCTATGCTTTCTCCCTCTACATGCTTCAAAAGTTCAAATTATTAGCTTTGCTAGTTTAAAGTTTAATTATGGTGACCCTTTGAGGTCCATATTTTCATCACAACTCCACCAACTGGAATCATCATCACTGTTGACACGTTCCCACGGTGAGGGTGCAGTCAGTGAGTGATTTCACTCCCACCCAAAAATAAGTTGTGAGCAAAAGAGTCCGTTTTGAAAGCTGAAATGGAGATGGGTCGTGTAGTGTTGATGCTGTTGGTGTTTTCCACCATTGTTGTATGCCCTTCTTCTCTTGCTCTCACGCAAGACGGTGAGAACCATATTTAAACCCCTTTTGTCTCTTTCTTGGTTAAAGTTAAACCCTTTTTCCATTTGGGGTTTCTTCTTTTACTGAGTTTCCTTTATATATTGTCTACCTTTGGTTGTCATTCACAAAATAAACTAGGCATTGTTTATAATTTGTTTCCATTTTTATTGTTTGGGATGAATGATTAGTGCATTTGGGTTAGTTTTCATACTACATCTGTTCTTCATAGATGCGGTGAAATAATTCCGGTTTAAAGTTTCAAACTTCTGGTTTTTTATTCATCTATTAGGACATACATTGTTGGAGATCAAAAGCACTTTGAATGACACAAGGAATTTTCTGAGCAACTGGAGAAAGTCTGATGAGTCTCACTGTACATGGACTGGTATCACTTGTCATCCTGGGGAACAACGAGTTAGCTCAATGTATGTAAGCAGCACACACTCTTCATTTTCTCTTATATATTGGTTTGAGAAATAACAAAAAGAAAGATTTTTTTCTTCATCATTAATTATTTTCTCAACTAAGGGGCACTAAACTTTCTTCGTTTCTCTCCTGAATTCTGAGTATGACAATCATACGTTAACACCTTTGTTTGTGTTGCCACTCTCATGCTTCAGAAATCTACCTTATATGCAACTGGGGGGTATTATCTCTCCCAGCATTGGCAAACTCAGTAGATTGCATAGACTGTAAGTAGTGCAAGTTAAATCTTTCACCCCAATTCATTAACATCTCCTCAAGTAGAGAGATGTAACATCTCCGAGTTGTGTTTTCGATGAATCAGAGCACTTCATCAGAATGGCTTACATGGAGTTATTCCTAATGAAATTGGCAATTGTACAGAGCTTAGAGCACTGTAAGTGAAAATTAGTCGAGTTTTTGTCAGAAATTTTCCTGTGAATAATCATCCCTTTATTTTTTGGACATGCTTCATCTGATTCTAACTATAGGTACTTGAGAGCTAATTATTTGCAAGGAGGCATCCCATCAGATATTGGAAATCTTTCTTATTTACATGTATTGTAAGTTCCTCTCTTTTATTTCTGCCCCATGAAGTTTTGCCTAAAATTTGTTAGTAATGATTGTCATTGGTGTATATCTTTCTTTGGGAACTGTCTTTGTTTGGGTTCTTAACATGTTATTTTTCAACTCTCGTTTTAAAGAATTTAATAAAAAGTTCAAATACAGGGATTTATCAAGTAACTCATTAAAGGGTGCTATACCATCTTCTATTGGCCGTCTTACACAATTGCGAGTTCTGTAAGTTCTTTTAACCATAGCTTTAGCATAATGATACTGATAACCATCATAGTTTTTGGATTCAGGATATGCTAATTTATCTGCTTCTCTTAGGAACTTGTCAACTAATTTCTTTTCCGGTGAAATCCCTGACCTTGGAGTACTAAGCACCTTCGGGAACAATGCGTAAGCACTCTTGCCTAGTAATGTTATGTCTTGGCTGACACGTATTTTGACCAATCAATGTTTAAACTCTTGCATAATTTACTACCGATTTCGTTATTCATTTCTCTTAGGCCAATGATTAAGGAATGAATATTGTTACATTTTCTGATAATAACTTCCCACTTAATTTTCTTAGGGATAAATTTATTTTCTGTTAACTTTCTTTTCAATCAGGTCTTGCCCTTGCACTAATTGGTGGAAGGTTGGTTCAATGTCTGTTTATGCTTCTGTTTATAAGTTCATTGGATATGAATAGGTTTATTGGGAACTTAGATCTTTGTGGGCGGCAAGTTCAGAAACCATGTCGGACATCACTCGGTTTCCCAGTGGTGCTACCACATGCAGAAAGTGATGAAGCTGCAGGCAAGTCAAATCCAATGTTCTATATTTTTTATCAATAGAGCTATATATCTATATGTTAGTTCTCGTAATTTTTAATAAAGAAAACACTAAATATAAAAAGGGAATGCATTAATATCTTCAAAATGTTTTGTTGCTTTGGTAAGCAGGGAGCTGTCTTTTTAATAGTACAAAACATTCTATTTGTAAATACCCTCTGACTTAGTAGATCCCTTATAACCAAATTTTTCCAATTGAGCAAGTTTGAATTTGTATGATGCAGTTCCTGCCAAAAGATCTTCACATTACGTCAAGTGGTTGTTAATTGGTGCAATAACAATAATGGGGCTTGCACTTGTTATAACTCTTTCATTATTATGGATTTGTTTGCTATCAAAGAAGGAAAGAGCTGCTAGAAGATACATAGAAGTTAAGGATCAAGTCAACCCAGAATCAAGTAGAAAGAATGATGGTATTTCAAAATAGCACTCTCATATCAGCACACAAAAAGTAAAAAACATTACTTCCTTTTTCTTCTTTGTAAATACTCACATCGTGTTGTAACAGGTACAAAACTTATCACCTTCCATGGTGATCTCCCATACACATCATTTGAGATCATAGAAAAGTTGGAGTCTCTAGATGAAGATGATGTGGTAGGGTCTGGAGGATTTGGTACTGTATACCGTATGGTGATGAATGATTGTGGTACATTTGCTGTTAAGAGGATTGATAGAAACCGTGAAGGTTCTGATCAAGGTTTTGAAAGGGAACTAGAGATATTGGGTAGCATCAAGCACATAAATCTAGTTAACCTGCGTGGTTACTGTAGACTTCCTTCTACTAAGCTTCTAATATACGATTATTTGGCCATGGGAAGCTTAGATGATCTCTTGCATGGTATGCTTCATTTTATATGCACCATCTATCTTTTTTCCATAACCTGAACTGTTTATAACTGTTCTTTTGGAGGATCCTCTGGCACTGATGATAAATGGGAAATTTTAATGGGCCATTATGTAAGAATGAGGTCTAGGAGAAGGGAGGGGTTCTGTTTATCATGATTTCATTGCATGATGACATGCCCTTCAATTCAGCATTTGCTAACTTTTTGTTAAATCCTTTCTGATTTAGACAACACTGAACGATCACTGAATTGGAATACTCGCTTAAAGATAGCACTTGGTTCTGCACGGGGTTTGGCTTATTTGCACCATGACTGCTGCCCGAAAATTGTGCACCGCGACATAAAATCTAGCAACATCCTTCTTGATGAGAACATGGAGCCTCGTGTCTCTGATTTTGGTCTTGCAAAGCTTTTGGTTGATGAAGATGCCCATGTTACCACAGTGGTTGCTGGCACGTTTGGTTATTTGGCACCAGGTATGTATTTAGTTCCACACACCAGCAGAGTGTCATTTGGATTCTTGTCACCCTTTTTAGGGTGTAAAATCAGGTCGTTGAAATTTGCTAGAATAGCCTCATACTACAATTCTACGTTGTGTCAGTTTATTTATATTGTTGTAACAAATCTCACGAGAAATAACTTTTATGGCTGATATTTTGTACTTGTGCCAACACATTAGAGTATCTACAAAGTGGAAGAGCCACTGAGAAGTCAGATGTGTATAGTTTTGGAGTGCTATTGCTAGAACTTGTAACTGGAAAGAGACCTACAGATCCTTCCTTTGCAAGGAGAGGTGTAAATGTTGTTGGTTGGGTAATGCCTAACTCATTCAATGCACAAATGAAACATGGACTTCTTTTACTCATTTACACGCGTTACAGGACTAATAATAACCAAGGGTAATTATTTGCAGATGAACACGTTCCTGAAAGAAAATAGATTGGAGGACGTAGTAGACAAAAGATGCACTGATGCAGATTCAGGATCTGTGGAAGTAATTCTTGAACTTGCATCAAGCTGCACTGATGCAAATGCGGATGAACGTCCATCAATGAACCAAGTATTACAGATACTGGAACAAGAGGTGATGTCTCCTTGCCCAAGTGATTTTTATGAGTCACATTCAGATCACTGATAAATGACTCAATCAACTCCAAGATGCTATGCTGCTAACTACATTTTGTGTACTGTTCCTGCCCCATTCTGTGGGTCTGTAAATTTTTTGTTGTAGTAAATGACATGCGCAACGGTAGTAGTTCAACATTGCAATGTTTTGGTCTTTTGGAAAGACCTCCATTGTCAATATGAATTTGTTGATTCTAAATGGAACAGTTAATCAACATTATTTAATGAACTACAATTGTTACTTGTTAATGATTTTTGTCCTAGAAATGAAGTTGAGGAGGACATAATATCTATTAGCTATAAATTTAATGTTTAACAGGCAAAGGGGTTAATTGTTTCCGCTTCTCCAGTTTACATACATAATAAATCTTTAGACGGGTAAGTAAAAGGATAGGTTCAGATCAAGTTACATGTACGGTGTACTTGACTCAAAAAGGACGATTATTTTTTCATGCGTATCCCTTTTTGGTCATTTATTTCCCCATACAGAAACTGTGTCTAATATTTATACAGAAAGCACAGTTTGTCTTTCATGTCAGATTTCTGTACGCTGGAGTAGAAATTTTAACCTTCAATTTGTGCAAATTTGGTACGAATACAGGTCCGTTTATCGGGAATCGAATTCTAAACAGCGTGTTTTTTTTATATATAAATAATCTTTGGCATAGTTAAATATAAACTAATTTATTATATATATATATATATATATATATATATATATATATATAAATGACAATTTGAGAAAGATATAAAATTTGAATTAAAAGGAATAAATATTTTAGGTATTAAACTAATGAGACATGCATAAACAAATTAAAAAACTATAAGTAGAATAATTATTTATTTATGGATTGTAATAACATATTACAAAACAACCTAATTATGGGAAGTTGATCTCTTGAGACCTAGGTTGTGCGGATAATGGATGATTTCTTGCTTATCTTGAGGTGTAACAATTGGAGTATTTTTTTTGTTGACATTCTTTGTTGATATCCATTTTAGTTCTAATTGGGATGACTTTGGA